TTAGGTACTCGGTCGTTCATTTTGGCGATTTGTTGACGTTTAATTGTTCAAGTTTCACATAGAATGGTAAAAGACTTAGTAAACAGTAAATAGAGAAAGGGAAAACATCTAGGAACATTTTTCAAAAGAGTTAGAAGTTGGGCTGTAAATCCATCAAAACTGTCGTAAGCCACCTTAACTTTGTGCCGTAGTTTTTCTTTGATTAATCGTGTAACTTTTTGGGCCCGTGAAGCACTTGCCGCGTTGCATTTGGTCAGTAAAGATTGGGAAAAGGGAAGCGGTTCCACAAGTCAAAAAGCAGCACTTGTGACTAAGAAGTAACCCCTGAGGTGCTGAACCTGCAGAACAGGTTGTTCAGCGGGTGCAGTCGCAAGGCTGGCTGTTGTGCTTGGGTACCCTAAGGTTTCTTTCATACGTCATTGTGATTCCGGTCAATCAATATGAAATGAAAGCCACCAAGGAATGAAAAGAATGAAAACCTTCGATTACTAATTGAAAAAATTTCAAAAATAACAAACTCGTACTGAAGTTAAAGACATTTTTTTTTCTCTTTCTCTAGTGGGCTGAATCTGCAAAAATACAAGGTACTGGAAATGGACACAAATGGAACTCTCTATCTTTACAGATCTTCAGTACTATGTGTGAACGAGATTATCAAACGACTGACTGAAGGAGCATACGAACTCGCTGAACCGAACATGTTACCAGGTTAGGCGACACATGCAATCAATCAAGCACGAGCATCGAGTCAACAGAAGGAATCTTTAATTTGCCTCGATATTAGTATAGGTAATCATGCGATTTCGAGTTCAATTTGGAATTAATTTGCACGAGTGAGTTTTTCAAAAAGCTGMAATTGCACTCGCCGAAGCGGCTCGTGCAATTTCAGCTTTTTGAAAAACTCACAAGTGGAAGTTAATTCCAAATTGAACGAGAAAAACCGTATGATTACTTATTAATAATATAAACATGAAAAAATTTGCATGGAGAGAGTGCCGGAAGACCTTTCTTGAAGCCATTTTTTTCTCATTCGAGAAAACTTTTTTCAACGTTTCTGCACAAAATTTTCGTCATTATTTTACGTAATATCATTGGCTTTGAAAATTTCCTATTGTCTTTCAGCCAATCAATC